GAAGTTCGCAGTGACTGGGAGGTGAAAGAAGAGATGGATTTCCCACGACTGATGAAGATGCGCTACCTGGAGGTGTCAGAGCCACAGGACATGTAAGTTCCTAAAACAGTTTCCTGAATAGACTGAATTTTTGGACGGCAGGAGAACAAGGGGTCTCCTGGGTTGGTCCCAATGTTCCTACTGAGGTATCCAAAGCTGAGAGTGGTAGAATGCCCTATCATTCCCTCAGTCCTTTGTGGTTTGTCAGTGGAGGTATTTGTGTGATCAAGCTCATCCTCCCTTCCTCTCCCATAGAGAGTGCTGTGGAGCCCTAGAATACTATGACAAAGCCTTTGACCGCATTACAACGAGGAATGAGAAGCTGCTGAGGAGCATTAAGCGCATCTTCCATACGGTCACTACTACTGATGACCCAGTTATCCGAAAGGTATGTTCACTGGTTTGCCAAATCAGAGGGTGTGCTTTTCATTGTGTGCTGTTCAAGACCTGTCACAGTCAGGCCCAAGACAAACAGGAAAAATCCACATCTCTCAGCTTGCAAAATGGAAACAAAGTATTACCTTGGTACTTTCCTTAGACCTCAGGCAAAGCTAGGTCAAGGTAAAACTGGCCAAGGAAAGGTGAACAAACCAGTACTTGCACAGCGCTGGAAAAGGAACTTCAGTTCCTTGAAAACCTGCTTCTAGAGTTTTCTGCTTTTTGGAGATGAGGGAGGCTCAAGGACTGCTCTTTATGACTCTGTCAGCAGTAAGGAACCAAGTCCTTTAACAGCAGATTTGCATTTTGCAGTAGGTTTCTTTTTGCTTGTCTGAGCAGGAGTGTGCTTGGATTGCTAGGTAGTACTCCACACTTGGCATAGCTGTCAGCGGTGTACCCAGCAATCTGTCTTTATCAGTATGGAAGAAGAAATTCACGATCTGGTTTGCTAGCACTTCTGATCTTGGCTGGGAAAGGAAAGGTATGTCTGTAAGTGCTGCTGAAACATAATGTTTTCTGTATCCATAGCTGGCCAAGACTCAAGGGAATGTGTTTGCCACAGATGCCATCCTGGCCACACTGATGAGTTGCACTCGCTCTGTGTATTCCTGGGACATCATTGTCCAGAGAGTTGGATCCAAGCTTTTCTTTGACAAGAGGGACAATTCAGATTTTGGTGAGGAAAACTCTTGAAAGAAATTTATTATTGTTGCTAATCCCAGTTTTCTTTATGCTTTTGTGGTGGTGGCTTTTTTTTTTTTTTTAATTTATTCTATGTCTCAGTGCCAAGACTGAGATACCTGGAGCAAACTGATTGCTGCAATATGTTGCTGACTGTGAGAGTACTTTCAACATTGATCTGCTTCAGCATGGGTGGTAGAGATTCATTGAAGCCGATAGAAGTTCTATCCAAGTGTAACAGCTTGTGACTGTTTTTTTTTTTTCTCAGATCTACTGACAGTGAGTGAAACAGCTAATGAACCACCGCAGGAAGAGGGCAACTCCTTTAATTCTCCACGCAACCTTGCCATGGAAGCAACTTACATCAACCATAACTTTTCCCAGCAGTGTCTGAGGATGGTAAGGCCAAGCAGTCCTGGGCAGTAGGGTGTGAGTTGTGGAGAGTCTGGAAATGAGACTTTATTCAGACTTGCTTAATGCAGCTGCTCAGCACGGAAGTGTTTCAGTTGGTAAAGGTAGTTTGCACTGATGTTACCTCAGCTTGAACCAGGTGGGATTCCTTATGGTGAGCAATGTGACTCTTTGTATAAAATGATTTTCACCTTTATTTTACGAAGAGGAAATCCCATGCCTGTTGGTAAAGTGGGCAGGCTTCTGAGTACATTTATTAAAGCTGAAGTGCTAAGAGGAGTAATGATTACAGGGAAATGGTTACCATGGAAATGAGGATTTGCATCAGTCATCTTAATTATTTCAGTGTCTTTTCTGTGTAGGGAAGTCAGCTGTGGTTGCTATAACAGAGTATTCATCCAAGAGGAGAGTTCTAAGTTTTGTTCTTTTGCTTGTTTCTGTTTCCATATATAGGGAAAGGAGAAATACAAGTTTCCCAACCCAAACCCCTTTGTGGAAGATGACATGGATAAGAACGAAGTAGCTTCTGTTGCTTACAGGTATGCTGATGTATCTCTTATTCCCAGCTTTGACAAGGGTGCAGGATGTCAGTGTGGTTTGCAAGGAAAAGACAATCAAAACGAATGAACGGTTAAAGGATGAAAGGATTTTGCTGAGTACTTGGAAAGGTTTGGAGAAGAACCAGGGTCAGAAATAACCATCTGGACTGTGCTTGCAGGTACCGAAGGTGGAAGCTGGGAGATGACATAGATCTCATTGTCCGCTGTGAGCATGATGGGGTGATGACGGGAGCTAATGGAGAAGTGTCATTCATCAACATCAAAACTCTGAACGAATGGGATTCCAGGGTGAGGAAGAACAAGATCCCAAAGCTAGCTCTAACTGCTTCACTGCTGCCTGACAAGCCAGGTATAGCAGGCAAGATGAGACAAACATCTAGTGGTGTCCCCTGAGTTACCTTCCATCAGAGATGCATAGCTTTGGTGGACTAGCAGTGCTATTAAGCCTCACCCAGGCATGAGGTAGTTGGTTTGAACCCTGTTCTGGTTCTCAGTTGCTCTGTGCAGTAGCTGATCTTTATCAGTGCTGCCCTCGTTAACCATCCCTAGCAGACTTCCTCTCCTAGCCATTGTACTGCATTTCTCCCTTTGCAGTGCAGGGACTCTGTCTGCAAGTAGAAGTTTGCATTCCCTAGTTAAGGTATCATAGTTTAGATAGGAGAAACTTCCCCATGCAATGGCTGAAAAGATAATTGCTGCTGGCTTGTTAGGTTCACTCTGGTTTTGATTCTCCTCTTAGTACTGCAATGGAGTAGACTGGCGTCAGAAGCTTGACTCACAGAGAGGAGCTGTGATTGCCACAGAGCTGAAAAACAACAGCTACAAATTAGCTCGCTGGACATGTTGTGCGCTGCTGGCTGGATCAGAATATCTCAAACTTGGGTAAGACAGGGTTTTCACACCAAGTATCTTTCAGGTGCATTCTCAGTGATTTAACACAATCTATATTGTAGAGAACTGTTGGTAGAGTCTGGATGATCATAAAATTGCTTCACAGTTTGAACAGTAGTGGGTAAAGCTTGCAGTGAACGTGCCAGTGGTGACTCAGGCCTTAGCTTTAGCTGCTTTCCCTCAACATCTGATTGATGTGCCCTCTGTTATGGCTGACCTTGTAAGACCTCATGCGTGTGACGAGCAGGCAGCCTCTGCCATTCCCAGCCTATTTGCTGAAATTGACAGCAAGGGAAAGAAATACAGTGACCATGCTACCTGTCAGGAGTTTGATTGAGGTCCTCAGTGCACCATTACTGAGAATTTGAGTGGAGGAGGAGGTATCACCACAGCCCGTTTTGAACTGTCAGTTTAAAACCAATTGAGTCTGTGCCCTGTTATTGATGGCCTGAGTGAGCTGCTGTGTGTGCTGCCTTCTGCCAGCCATCCAGTTTTGCAGAAATCCAGACCAGAGTGCTTTTCCTATGATTTCTTTGCACAGCACCAACACAGAGCTTATATCATCTTATCTGTAAATGAAAATAATAGCTGGGGGTAGTGAAAAGGACTCAATCTTGGTAGTTCTGCAATTCAGTATTCTGTTTTCGGGTGTGAGATATCTGTAGTCTAGACTCGCAAGTTATCATGCAATTGCTTAGTTTTTATCTGTGGTGCTAATTCTTCTGTACTGCTCAATCAGATCTGGGATAGTGGGAGGATTCCAGTAGTGTTACTGATGGCAACAGCCAGTGGCCAGGAGATCCTCTTAGCTTTCAGTGTTGGAGAGTTAGGGTGGTTCTTCCTTCTCAGAAAACAAAAGCAAACCCATCATGCTGGGTTTTTTTGATGTCACTTTGGTGGCCGAAATCAATCCCCTGCTACTCCTCTCTTCCTTCTTGCCCACCAGGTACGTGTCCCGTTACCATGTGAAGGATTCTGCCCGCCATGTGATTTTGGGCACACAGCAGTTTAAGCCCAATGAGTTTGCCAGCCAGATCAACCTGAGCATAGAGAATGCCTGGGGCATCTTGCGCTGCGTCATTGACATCTGCATGAAGCTGGATGAGGGGAAGTACCTCATCCTCAAAGACCCCAACAAACAGGTGATCCGAATCTACAGCTTGCCTGATGGCACCTTCAGCTCAGATGAGGATGAGGAGGATGAAGAGGAAGAAGAGGAAGAGGAAGGTTTGTAGTATTCTAAGGGGTTTGTGCCTTTAAGTGATCTGGATGAAAGGGGAAACATAGGGTAAGGATGAGAGCTAATGTGGTGGAATGATGAAAGGAATGGGGCTGGGGAAGATGCAGCCCCGAGAATGCTGTAGTACGTAGTGGAAAGAGGATATTGGGAAGAGTTGGACTGTTGAATGAGAAGAAAAAAGCTGGGAGCAAGAAGTGGGGTTGTGCCTACACATGGACAGGGAGGGCTTGGATGTGTTAGAGGTATGGGCCCAGAGCACAGGACTGGAATTCATGCTGACAACAGCAGGCCTTGAGTTCTTCTGGATTTGGATTTTTTATTTCTATTTTTTTTTTTAACTCCAGTTTTAGAAACGGTGACTACACTATGTGACATATAACAACTTGGGCGGCAGTGGAGTGCAGACTGCCTACTTCTGCTGCCCAGGGCATTGCTACAGCACAGGGAGGAGCAGTGGTCCTGTTTCGATTAGGGTGGGGATGTGGCTTCTTCCTTCTGCCGCGGCAGCCTCACTGTGCTTTCTCTTGCAGAAGAAGAGAGCTGAGCGCCAGGGACTGCGACTGGGCACATCCCTGCACCGGGATCCGCTGGAAATGGCCGGATGGGCAAAGAAGCCGGAATAAAAAGTGGCTTTTCTCTGCACGGCTGTTCTGCGTGTGCTGTGTGGAGCAGGGGGAGAGAGGGAGGGTGGCCGACCACGTGGTAGTGAGAGCGCCGTGCGGGATGCCTGCTCCTTTAAGGTCCGTCCCCTCCCTCGGCCACGTGGTCCGGCGCGGAGGCGGAGTCACGTGACGCGGCGCGGGGTTGTGGCGGGCCTGGCGCGCCCGCAGCTTCCCTTCCCTTTCGCGGGCGGCGCGTGAGGAGCGGCGCGGGCCGGGTCCATGGTGCAGGTGCGGCTGCGGGCGGGACGCGGCCAGGTGCGGCGCGCATCACGCGCGGCAGCCACGCCTCGCACTCGATTGGATGAGGGTGGGGCGGGTGGGTGAGGAGCGGCGGGTCTCGATTGGCCGGCGGCCGGCAGGGGCGGGGCCGGCCCGCGCCGGGCGCTGAGGGGCGGCGGTGCCGCCATGTTGGCGGCGCCGCGCGCCGCGACGCTCCCGCTCCTCTCCCAGCAGCCGCCACCCCGCCATGGCCCGCGGCCTCTTCCTGCGCCTCGTCCTCAGCGCCCTGTGTGCGGCCGGCGCCGCCGCCTTCCTTTACCACGACTATTGCGTGCTAGGAGCGGGCCCTGCCGGCCTGCAAGCCGCCTACTTCTTGCAGCGGGCCGGCCGCGACTACGTGGTGTTCGAGCGCAGCCACGCGCCCGGCAGCTTCTTCGCCATCTACCCCCGGCACCGCAAGCTGATCAGCATCAACAAGCGGCACACGGGCAAGTCCAACAGCGAGTTCAACCTGCGGCATGACTGGAACTCGCTCCTCAGCCACGAGCCCCGCCTGCTGTTCCGCCGCTACTCGAGGCAGTTCTTCCCCCACGCCGACGCCATGGTGCGCTACCTGGAGGACTTCGCCGCCATCTTAGGGCTGCGCGTCCGATACGACACCGCCATCGTTCACGTCACGTTAGAGAAGGAGCCGCGGGCGTGGAACGGGCACTACTTTGTGTTGAGCGACCAGAATAGGCAGAGCTACAAGTGCAGGTAATGGGCACGCAGCTCTCCGCGTGGCTTTTCGCTTGTGGAGTAATCAGAGGTTGTTTTGTCCGAGCCCCCTGCTTCAGGTTGATCACAGCCTGCTTGAGCGCCTGCTGAAGTGGAGATTTTGCAGCCTGGCCCAAGGCTGGAGCACAACCACGGTGAGCAGGTTGCTGGGGAGAAGTTAGCAGCTCCTGGCAGCGTGGTGCCTCTCTCAGTGATGCTTCACATCAGGCACCTGAGGAGCTGGCAGATCAGGCATAGGCTGGTCGATACATAAGGTGGAGTGGATTGTTTTCACTTCAGTTAATCCATACGCGCTTAGAAAAAGCTGAGTTGAGAAGTGTGGCCCAGCTTGTTGAGGCCCTTGCTCAGCTCAGAAGCAGCAGGAGGGAGCTGGGGAGCAGTGGGGCTGAGGGGGCTGTGCTGGAATAAGGTGATCTCAGGGCTGAGCTGAAATTACAGCCTTTCAGGTTCCTTTCAACCTAAGCCATGCAGTCTCTGATGTTCAGTTCTGTCTTTGGCAGAAAGCAGGTACAGTGGTGATGAGTTGATGATTGGACTAGTGGATCTTAGAGGTCTTTTCCAACCTTAACAATTCTATGATTTTAAGTCCCAGTGAAACTTGAGTGCTTCCCCAAATGCCCCTTGTCATGCTCAGACACACATCCCACACTGCTACTCAACCACATTCTTAAAAACCCTCTTGGAGTTACTCATGAACATATGGAGTGTATTTCTCAGCTCTCTTGAGAGCCTCAGATCTATGTCAGCTGGTCACACTGACTGTCACTTAAAGGTGTGCCGGCTGTTAGGCTTGGAGGGGGCAGAGCTCAGCATGGGACACCCACGCACCATCAGCAAATTGCTCTCGGGAGCTGTGTGAGCAGGCACTGCTTCTCAGTTCTGCTGCTTGCTGCTTCCTTATCAATTGCAATAATTCCTGTAATACTTGGGCAGTTGTTCTTACAGAGCTATGAAAACACTGCTGTGTTTACGTTTAGTGTTAACGATCAGCATTGTTGCAAGTCCTAATCATGTAAACGTGATAGCATTTATAATCCCTCTTAAATTTTTGTTGTTGTTGTTCCATTGCATGAAAAGTGTCCATTCCACTGCATGAAAAGGCAGCACACATTTTAAATCAAAGTAATTTTTATGCAGCTTATCGTCCACCTGTGAAAGATGTTAGTATTACAGCACGCGTAGTAGCGCTGCACATCCACAAGCAACTGAAGGTTAGGAAATAAGTGGAGCTTGTAAGTACTGTGTCTACGCTGATTTGTGCTACACGTAATGCCTTTAGGAGCCCTCCTCATCACCATAATGACAGGAAGGGTAGGAGCAAGTCATTAGGTGAAGCTAGGGGGAAGTTTTTATTGAAATTGGAATGTATGCAGTACCAGTCAACCTGGTCAGCTGTGAATGCCCCATCCCTGGAGGCATGCAAGGCCAGGCTGAATGTGGCTCTGGGCAGCCTGGTCTGGTGGTTGGCGACCTTCACGTGGCAGGGGGGTTGAAACTGTATGATCATTGTGGTCCTTTTCAACCTAGGCCATTCTATGATTCTATAGGGCTCACTTCCTCTGTGTTAGGAACAGTGAGATGGAAAGACAGTCTGATTCCTGTGATTCTTGTATTCTTTAATGCTAATCCTCTTTTTGCAGCTGTTTGTTGGTTGCCACTGGCACGTGGGTCCCCAATGTGGTAAACTTTCCTGGCTCGGAGTACGTTGAGGGTTATGAGACGGTGTCTACCAACCCGGAGGATTTTGCTGGTCAAACCGTGCTGATCTTGGGCCGAGGAAACTCAGCCTTTGAGACAGCAGAGAACATTCTGGGTGTCACAAATTTCATCCACATGGTGAGCCGGTCCCGCGTGCGCCTCTCCTGGGCTACTCACTACGTCGGGGATCTGAGGTAGGAAACTGTTCTTCTTCCTAATGCAGCTAGAGTAAAAACAAGTGAGAGCTGCTGCTTGCTCAGGAGATCAGCCAGACTGGAGGAGGAGGAAACATGAGTCCTTTTACCTTTAGGCCCTTGGTTTATAGCAGCCCAGGTTGCAGCTGCTGAGTAGTATGAAACAGGAAGATGTTCCCATGGATTCTTTGTCATTAAGAAGTGCTGGCTCCCGAGTTGGCCCTTTGCAATCAAGGAAGAGAGTTCAGAGGTTGACTGCATCATGCAAGGGCAGCACTCTGATCAGAGTGAGCCTGGGGGTCAGAGACCCACATGTGGTTACTTGTTCTGCTGTGGACTTCCTAGCTGATTGTCAGCATGCTGTGTACACCCTCTGTGCGTGTCTGTCTTTCAGCAGGGCTAATAGCACTGCTGTACACAGCAGGAATGCAGTGAGAATTAAGGCATTAATGAGTGTTCAGGAACAGGGCCAGAGGAGGCAGAGCTCCCCTCTCATTTGTACAAGGCACGCTGGGGAGCGTGCCAAGGGCTCACAGGAATGGCAGTGATCAGTGTTGTGTTATCAAAGCCCTGAGGTGCACCTGGTAAGCTTGTCCCATTTCCAGAGGCTGAGACCAAACCGTGGATCCAGCTGTGCCGATTAGCCTTTCTTCTTTCCCTTTTCTTTGCAGAGCAATTAACAATGGTCTACTGGATACCTACCAGCTGAAATCTCTGGACGGACTTCTGGAAGGTGACCTGGAAGATCTAGCTATTGTCAAGGACAAAAAAGGGAAGCTGCATATCACACTTCGGTTCTACCTAGAGAACAAGAACATCAGCGCAGGCATTGATGGGATCACCCTCCCACAGGATGAACTGGATAACTTTGCTACCCGCGCACCATATGACCGTGTCATCCGCTGTCTGGGCTGGAAGTTTGACTTTTCTATCTACAACAGGTGAGGCAGAACCAGTGTCTAGGGAAGAATATATTTATAGCAAGAGACTGACAGGCCAGGGTAAGGAGGAGGAGAAAGCCAGATAGGGTGATCACAGCTCTTTTGCTGGTAGCACTGCCCAGGCCTCCATGTGCTCCAGGTTACCTGGTGCTGCACAGTCCTGTGTTTGCCCTGCAGCTGTGTTTGTGTTCCAGTAGGAATGTGTGTGCTGCTGCCCTCTGACCAATAGGCTGTAGGGATGAGCAAATGGCAGTGCTGGATCTTGGAAGTTGCAGGAAAAGTTTGTGTCTTTATAGCTCAACATGTCAAATCGAGAGAAGGTAGCATTCTTTCAAGTGAGGATGGCACAAATGCAGATTGCTACAGAAAGGATTCATCTGCTATTTTTTTTTCTCCTGAAGGTGCAATTTTCATTCCACCTTTGTATCCTAATATATTCTTCAGCTTGAAATGGTATTGCTAACTTTGTTATCTCCTGAAGTTCATTGTCAGTGGCTTAGGCTGGTATTTGATGGTGGCCACAGCTACTCAAGAGGAGTGCCCTTCTCTTCTGGAAGATCCTTCCTGACCTTATGCTCTTGGGAAATTAGTGAGTTCCACTAAAGGCAAAGGGAACATGGAGCAGTGTGTTGCCGTGACTGCCGTGTAATATATGCCTTATCAGAAGCCCTCTTTCTTTTTTCACTCCTGCCCTTCCTGACAGCTTGCTATTCTGTTTTGCACATCAGATCCCTTAGAATGATGCCAGGAAGAGGGAATAAAAGCAAATATCCTCAGATCAAACCCAATTACGAGTCCAGAGGCACTCGGGGGCTCTTTGTTCTTGGCACTGCTAGCCACTCTGTTGACTTCAGGAAATCTGCTGGGGGTTTCATCCATGGCTTCCGGTACACAAGTGAGTACTGGGGCTTACAGAAAGGGCAGGGGCTGGGGTTCAGTGCTGCCTTCCAAAGAAGAATTCATAGCTTAGTGCTAGAAAAGGGTGACCCTTCATCTTGTGCTGGCAGTAAGAATAACAAAACATAGCCAAGATGCAGCTGCATAGTCTGAAGGGGAGGAGAGGCCATGGAAGTGCCTTGGGGTCATATCTGAAGTCTTTGATTGTCTGTCTTTGTTTTGTCTTGTGTCTCTCTGGCCCGCCGTCTCTTATTTATGTAACAATAAATTTCTGCCTGCCAGATGCTGTGCCTCGTGGCAGGCTGTGGGTGAGAGGTCTGTGCTGCAGTGTTAAAACCCAACAGCTTTCAGCAGCAGGGGGAATTTCTGTTTGTGTGCGCGTCCATCCTTATCATTATAGAGCTGCTCAGAAGAAATGAAATACCCCAAGGACCCCTTGCCCCCTTACCAGCCACTCAGCATCACATCAGTTTTCTGAGCGCATCTCCACTGCGGCTGGTAGCAATCTGGGTGGGTTGAGCTGTTAAGCTTCTTTATCCTGTCCTGCCAGGATCTGTGTGCAGCAGAGCAGTCGGATTTTTTTTTTCCCAAATGTGCAAGACTGGATTTTTAAATAAGCTCTCTTTGTTTCTCTCAATGTCTTAGCTCGTGCAGTCCACCGCCTATTGGAAAATCGTCACCATGGTGTCCCCTGGCCATCTGCAGTCTACCCTATTACACAGCTGACCAACTCCATCATCAGGCGGGTGAACGAGGCCTCGGGCCTCTACCAGATGTTCAGTGTCCTGGCTGACATCATACTGCTGAGAGAGTGAGTGAGTGAGCAATTATTCCCAGCACTGTGTTCCACTATTTCGTTTCTTTTTCTTCACTGTCACTGCCTTTGGTGCCACCACAAAAGTTGCTGCATTGCTGCCATTGATGTCACACAGGCAGACACCTCAAAACCTGTACCGCTGCAATGAGTGGTGCTGCTGTCCCCAGTTCTGCATATTATTTTCTCTTAAAAGTCCAAGATGGTCCAGGCATTTCTGCTGGGCTTGGATTTTTTGTTCTCTTTCACTGTCCCTAGGGAAAAACTTTCCTTGGGCACTGTTAATAGAGGAATCTCAGAGTCTGGGAGTAGAATGAAGTCTTGTAGCAGTACATACAGCTTTTGTAAGCGCTGCATCAAGCCCAGCCCAAATCTGTAGTGACTAAAAATGATAACTATCTGATGGCTCTTTGGCCTTAGCCTCAATCTGTGGAGGGAGTGTTGGATCCCGGGTGGTTTTTCTGTGGGAGAAAGGTCTTACGGTTATGGTTGCAATTTGTAGGAATGCCACAGCATTTGAATACCTGGAAGAATACCCAGTTGGAATCTTGGCTGAGTTGGAAACACAGACGGGGAGAAAAGCCCCTGCTGGGCTGTTTGTTGTCGTCATGGAGTACGGGAGGAATTTCTCAGGAGATGACAAGGATGTCTTCTACTACAACCGAGCTGTGGGAGAGGCACAGCATGCCTGGCAGTCCAACTTTTTGCACCCTGTTATTTACTACTACAAGCGCCTCCCTACAGGTGAGCTTTCTAGCCTCTATGTTAATTATCTGATAAGAGCAAAATGGAGAGAGAGGAGGATAGTTGAGAGCCAGAGTGGGTATGGGGCAAGACTGCAACGTGTTGCAAATCTCCTGCTCTACTACCTTCACATCCATCTTGTGAGGTGCTTGCTGCCACTTTGTGAGCTGAAGAAAAGAAGCTTCCATTAGTCCTGCCAAAATGGGGTAGGTTATACTAGAGATCTCACATTGGAGAAGATGAATAAACAGGTATGTTGTCTCCACAGTCATGAGGCAGCGATGAACATTGCCTGCCTTTGCAGCCTGCAGTGTATGCATTCTGCAGAGTCCTGGCAGTCAGAGTTGGGCTGTTTTGTGTTCCTGCCAGAAGGAAGCTGCTTTCTGTGGACCCATCAGGTCCGAGAGGTCATGTAGTGATTCGGGTAGCCAAAACAAACATTTGAAGATGAATATTTTATCCAGCAAACCCACTCAGAACACATTTCCTTGGGAAATGCATGTGCTGAATCTTCATCTCCAGAAGTCTGGCCTGGCTGGCAGTCTCTACCCAAAGCGAACTGGAGTGAAAAATGAAATGGCAGGAAATACTGTGGTCAGGGATAAGGAGGAGCTCTGTGGTGGCAGGGCTCTTCAGGACAGAGCTGACAGAGGGGGTCATAAATGGAAGTAAAGTAGGGATTAGAAGGTCAGAACAAAAACTGAACAGCTGCTGTGTTTGCTTTCTGCTTTCCAAGCCCTTTTTAATGCAGTTTTGATGCTGAGAGATTCCCTTAATGTTCTCTTGGCAGAGCGTGAGATGAGACTTCATCCCCCAGATTGGCCTCTTCCCCGCCCAGATGCCATCCATCATATTGTGGAGGATTTTCTGACAGACTGGACAGCCCCAAATGCTCACATCCTGCCACTGAGGCGCTTCTTGGAGAACTGCCTCAGCACTGACCTGCGCAATTTCTTTGCAGGTAATTTGAGCCCAGGATCTAGGATGCAGGAGGAGAAGGGGGGGATACGAGGGATGTGTGACAAGAGTGATCTCTTCTGCAAATAACCGAGATTTCCCTGTGATGTGCTGACACTCACAGTCAGTGACACCTTTCTGATGCACTCCCCAGACAGTAGAATCATAGAATCATAGAATGGCCTGGGCCACAATGATCATCCAGTTCCAACCCCCCTGCTATGTGCAGGGTCACCAACCACCAGACCAGTCTGCCCAGAGCCACATCCAGCCTGGCCTTGAATGCCTCCAGGGATGGGGCATCCACAACCTTGGGCAACCTGTTCCAGTGTGTCACCACCTTCTGTGTGAAAAACTTCCTCCTAATATCCAACCTAAACCACCCCTGTCTCAGTTTAAAACCATCTCCCCTTGTCCTATCGCTATCCACCCTCATAAACAGCTGTAGAAACAGCAGAACATGCTGGTGCTGTGTGTATGTTCCCAGATAGCCTTTGCTCTTCCTCACCTCCACAAAAAGACTGACCCAACTGCACACAGATTCATGAGCATTATGAGATTTGGTTCAATCTCCTTTCTAGCTGTAGTTTACCTTGTTTTTCCATTATCCAGATGTTCCTTTTTGCCATCAGATGCCTTATCTGTTCTCATTTACCACAGGTGAGATTGTTTCCAGCAGGGAGATGAGTGAAAATGGGAACGCTGGGATATGGGAGCTGGAGAACCTTTGCTGCCTCCTTTCTTGGTCTGGCAACCTAATGGGGGAACACCACATGGCACACAGCCAGTTCTCTGGCATGAATGTGATGACAGAGGGCTGAAAACTCAAATGTTTTTTCTGTCAGTGTAGACTGGAGGTGCCAATCTGCATCTCCTGATGCATGCAGCATTGAGTCAGTTACTTTTCTGCAACCCTGGTGCAAAGTGCCAGGTGGGAAACTCCAGTCTTCCCTGATCCTTTCTGCCTTCTTTTCTAAGTGTCTTCAAGAGCTTGTGTGAATTGTTCTCTAAATGGTTTACCTGGTGAATCTGATTTTTTTTAAAAAAATGTTTTCCCTGGCAGAATCCTGTTTCCTCTTTGCCCTCACACGTCAGAAGCTGCCTCCCTTCTGTCAGCAAGGGTATGCAAGATTGCAAGGACTTATCGGGAATGAGAGGCTCCGGCGTCATGCAGTGGAAGCTGGCCTCCTAGAGGATTATGCTGTCATGGACTTCTCAGATGACAAACTCCCTGACAGCCGTCAAGGGTCCCAAGACCAGTTGCTGAGAGATCATGTGATACCACTCCGTCCTCTGCACCACTTTGTTAATGCCAAGGATGAATTTTAGAATTTCTCATACCACGTGGCAATCCACAGGTGCTATTGTGACAATAATGTAACAGAGATCCACGGTGGGATTCTTCCCTCTCCTACACGCCTTTTACATCCCACCCCTTTCCACTGATCATGAATTGCCAAAGACCTGCTCAGATCTTGCTGTTACAAAAAGGACCAACGTGCTCTGAAGGATAAGTCAGAGCCTGGAATCCAATGATGCCGAGGCTTCTGCTTTGTCCTCACGGAGTTCAGAGTTGCTTGAAGATGGTGTTTGTGTTTATGTAGTAAACCAGTAATTTACAGTGATGTCCAGAGGTCAAAAAAGGGAGAGTTTAGGAATTCCTGTCACCTGCCTCTTCCAAGAGAACTGGCTTGTGTTCTGTTTCAGCTTGGTGGAAGCTTTCTGGTCACTGGATGCTCTGTGTACTTGAAGATTTGTTTGCGTCCTGACATGGTACTTTAGACAAACTTCATGGCAGTTTCCCTGCATTTGAGTTAGGGCAGTCACAGAGCTTGAGTGGAGACAGGTGGTGGGTTTTAGTTACGGTATGAGTAGGATAACTTGTCACTTTGGCAGAGCAATTCAGAAGAACATTCCCTCTGCACGGATGAACAGCTGGGTGAGGACAGAAACAGTTACACTGAGCTCAACTCCCCTGTCCTAACATTTTTCTTTTCCCACACCAAAAAACCTGAAATGTTACCCCTGTGTTTTATAAAGCATGACCAATATTTTTCCTATTTGCACTATGTCCCATCAAGAAAGTTTTGGGTGAACTTTGACGTTGTTAAAATGCTCATTCTCTTATTTCTTTTTATCCCCTCCAGTCATCTTGAAGTCTCACAAGCACTGACTGGTTGGTTACCTGCACTTTATTGCTCCCTCTTTGCCTGCCATGTGCATTTGTCTGTCTGTGGGTTCCTGGGGGTTCCTTCCAAGACCTTGGAGTTGCAAAGTAGGAGAAGTTTTGAGCTCAACCTTAGAATGTCTGTGTGATTTCTAGGCAATAGAGACAGTGAGAGAGAATAGACTTCTATCTCCATGCGCATCTTCCAGTTCCGTAGCACCTGAAAGAATACCCCCTTTGTATCTGTGCTTCCTGGATCATAGCAGGGCTGTACCTAAAGCTCTCACGATCCTTTGAGTCCAGCTGTTTCAGTGAAACTACAGATCCTACCATCTGTGCTTTGTGTTTGCAGAGGCTGGGCAACAGAAGAAATGGATGAGATGACAAATGAGTTCTTGCTCCTATTTGCGTGTACTGTACTTGCTAGATGTGCTGCTTCTTAAGGATGCTTGTACCTACCTGCTCTGACATGCAGGACTGGAGAAATGATGTTATGCTCAGTTGGTGTTGATCAGCATCAGAAGCTCCTTGCTACAGCCTTAGCACTGTGGGCTTTTTATTTGGGTTCATCCAGGGAAGGATAAGAGGCTGCCCACTTACTCTTCCATTGTGCTCCATGTGCATCTCCCAGGGTTGTATCCAGTGACAGATGTCAGAGGTTTTACTGCCACCTGGTTCTGTGGTGCCGGTAGATCCTGAGAAGGGAATGCAGGTCTGTGTTGTTCGTGCATTGCTGATGAAACATGGAAGCTCTTACTTCCATCCTGCTGCCTTGGAGCTGGCAGGCAGGATTCCGCTGTACTTCGGTGTATGTTGTGTTAAAGTGAGTTACTGCCTGCCGTGCACTCTTGTCTAACGAACACGTTTTCTATGGCTATGTTCTTCCTACGAAGCTTAAAAAAAAAAAAAAAAAAAAAAAGAAATCATAACGTTAACCCAGAGGTGCGCCGTCGTTCGTCGAGCCACGTGCGAAAAGCGCGCTCCGAGGCGGGGATGGGGGCCTGAGCTCTGATTGGCGTTATTCTCCGCCAATCGTCGCTCGGGATCCGCCCTTGCTGTGCAACATCCTCCTCCCTAACTGGCAGCCATAGCAGCCAATAAGGATCCACGGTTATGGTTAGGGAGGCCAATCAGTGCGCTGGAGGGCGGGACCGCTGGACGGAAGCGGGGTTGGGCAGGGGTCACCTCCGGGCCGGGAAGGTGCGGGCCGGGGGTTGTTAGCCGTGCGCGCGGTGGGGCTGGGGCTTGGCGAGAGGAGCTCGGAGTTCTGCGGGGTCTCCGTGATCCTCACGTCCCCTCCGTTCTCTTCGCAGATGGCCCAGAGGCTGGCGCTGCGGCGGCTGCTGGCCCTGGGACGCAGGCCGCTGCCCCTCGGGTCCAGGCAGTTGGTCCCGCAGGGCTTATCCAGCCGGGCCTTCGGCGGCTCGGCGATCCGCTGCAGCGCGTTCAACGTGCAGGACGGAGGTGACTTCCAGGAGCGGGTGGTGAACAGCCCTAAGCCCGTGGTGGTGGATTTCCACGCGCAGTAAGTGCCACGCACAGCGAGGCCAGAGCTTTGCAGAGGCGGTGGAGAACAGAGCTCCCCAGGGCAGGGTTGGCTGTGCCGAAGTCACTCGGTCCGTGTGTTGTGTCAGCCTGTAACAGATGCCTCCGGGCTTGGGGAGTTCCTATAGCATCTTTTGTTAGCTGCTGGGGTGAAATCCCCCTTAAAAGTGTTAAATGATATTGCTGTCCCTTGGGAGCACGCTGTGCTTTGTGTGTTCCTGTAGCATCACGTTGTGGCTTTCCAGTTTTCTCAGTGCTAAGTGTCCTCACAGCCAACAAAGCTAATGTTATCCTGAGGCACTTTACAAAAAGTACAGTGCCTTTTAGTTTAAGTGAGGTTATCCTTCTCTTCTCCTCTGCACTGGTGGAGCTGCAGCTGGATTGCTGTGTCCAGTTCTGGGCTTGTCAGTTCAAAAAAATACAGAGAATTTCTAGACAGAGCCCAGCGGAGGAGCACAAAGATAATGTGGGGCCTGGAGCATCTCCTGTACAAGAGCCCTCAGACTGTTCACTCGGGACAAAAGAAAGCTGAAGGGGGATCTCATCACTGTTTATAAATATTTGGAGTGCAGCAGTCAAATGAATGGAGCTAGGCTCTTTTAAGTGGTGTGCAGTGACAGGACAAGGGGTAATGGGCACAAACTGGAGATATTAAAGATCTCTCTTTTAGATACTTTTCTGTGCAACTTACTTTACTTTTAACTCTGCTGTTGCAGGGGGTTGGATTGGTAAATTGCCAAAAGTCCCTTCCAACCCCTACCATTCTGTGATTCTGTGCTCTTGAACCAGGGCTCTCAACAACAAATACCAAAAACTGGCAACAGCCTTGTTTTACCAGTAGCAGCATTTGTGGTTGGTAAAGATATTGTCGCTCTCTTGCCAGTAAAAATATTCCTAGATGTAATCTGCTGCATTAACAATACTGATTCCCTTTGTTTATTCAAGTATTTCCATATCCCTGTAGTGCTGTCATATGAGCCAGCTGTGGCTGATTCTGGGCAAACAGATGTTAAAACACCCCTCAAACTTCTCTGAACAAACCAAAATCTACGTTAACAGTGATCATCCAGGGAGAAGAGGACGAATAATTGAAAGCCTAGAACCTTTCGTGGAGGGAGGCTAAACAAATCTCACCACAGCATCAATTTTAGATGGAAAGGGCACTCAGAGCTTTCATTCACATTTTCCCCCACTTGAGGAAGTTCACATCTTCCTTACCAGTGCAGCTAGAGGAAGCTGTGAGTGTTTTCCCTGTACAGAACATTGCAAAATCTGCCATGTTTGCCATGGTCTTTTTGCAGCTGCTGCATCTCTAATTTTTGCAGCTAATGGGGGATTTCTGTAAGCCATGCAGTGCATATCACAGAATCATAGCATGGCTTGTGTTGGAAGGGACCCCAGGAATCATCAAGTTCCAATCCCCTTGCCAGAGGCAGGACCACCAGCCTCCAGATCTGGCACTAGATCAGGTTGCATATGGAGCTGAAGTCTGTGGTTTGATAATCAGCAAGAGCCAATGCACCTGACTGTGATGCTTGCACCATGGTGGTGATGTGATCAGCTGGGTAACAGCTCAGCATGTGAGAGGAGGGACAAGTGGTGAGAAGTGTATGGAGGACAGCGAAGGCTGCTGGACCTGGTTAATGTTTACACTCAGTGTTGAAGTGCCACTACTGTCCTGTGGCACAGAGGTCAGCATGGAGACAGAAGAGGTGAAAACAGTGCTAAAGGTACTGGTGTACCAGCCAGCCTTCTACAGCTGCTGCTGCACTTGCCTCTTTTTATGTCCACTTTCCTCTTTTTCCTTAGGTGGTGTGGTCCCTGCAAGATCCTAGGCCCCCGGTTAGAGAAGATGGTGGCCAAGCAGGAGGGGAAGGTGGTGATGGCCAAAGTGGACATCGATGATCACACAGACCTTGCGATTGAGTACGAGGTAGGAACCAAAAAAGCACAAGCTTGCTGATGCTGTCAGTGCAGGGCATGTTCCTCTGCAGAGGGGATGTCAGCACAGCATAGTCTGGGTGGGGAGGGGAAGCCAAGTTCTGCCTACTGGCTCCTGGTCCACTGGGTTACTCTCCAGTGAGTGGAGTGCCTTTCCTCCAGCTCTGCTGCTCTTATCTGGCATCCCCATCTGCAGAAACACAGAAATCTGTGTGTCCTCTAAGCCACACAGAAGTTTGTCTCCGTAAATGCAGTCAGCATGTGCAGCATTGTACTCTGTGCACAGGTTGCTTGGGTTAGGGTGGGAGCATGAAGTAACAGGCCCCAGGCTGTTGCACTCTTAGACACCATTCTCCATGCAGGCAGCCCTTCCTCTCTCTCCTTTCCTCATTCTTGCTGAGTGACAGAGTCTTGTCCTTAAGCTGCATCACAAGGAGATGCCATGGGCTTTGTTTGGACAGATGGAACACAGGTCAGAGAATACCTGAGCACAGCAGGAGCGTGCATTCTGTTCTTCACAAGCATGGGCCTCAGTGATTGCGTTAGTGTTTCACGTGCTTGTTCCCCGTGTCTCTGCACTACCTTGCTCCCAGGAGCAAGCAGGGTGACTGAAGAAGGCCACAGCTTTAGCATATTTGATTTTTTTATTCTCTCCCCCTTGTACCCCTTCAGTGATTAGGCAGTTTATGAAATGCAGAAATTCCTTTGAGGACTGTGCTGGCTGCTTCTTGTAAGCAACAAGAGTTGGAGTATCCTGCTGCTGTGTTTTACAGAGAAGAAAGTAAGAAAGTGCTTCATTTTCACTTGAGTATCACACAGATGGAGCTGTTCCCTCTCCTAGGCTAAGTCCTGCCCCTGTGGCTGAGGCTAACACAGGAAGCTTCCGGAGATGCCCAGCAAACTGCACGCCATCTCCTGAGCAAGCCATCACTTTAAGTGTGGAGGAGATGTACTGTCCTGTTCTCATACTCTGCTGTGCCAGAAGGATGAGGAAGTCAAAGCTGTTTGTTTCCTCCCACTCTTTCCCAGAGAGAACTTCCTGCTGGTGCTTTGGTAGAATGTCCTCTCAGCTGTTGCCCACCAGTGTCACTTGTAGCTTCCGTGGGCTGAGCACAAGAGCCTCTCATGCTGTTTTTGGCAGCGGTGTGTTCTCAGGCACACCAGAGCCAAGGAGAATGAGTGCTGGCTCACTGTATTGCAGCCTGATGGCTCTGCAGCTCAGGGATGCTGGTAAGAACAAGTTGAAGAGGCTGTTTCTGCTGTAGTCAGAGAGTAGGTAATCCTGATAGGTTCAGGGGAGGTTCTGCAGCAACCATCCTAAGGAGAAGAGGATGGAGATTATTAGCTTAACTGTGATACTGTTCCAAGCCTTCCAGTAGGCTGAATTAGCTAGCATTACAGGAGGATGATCTCAGATGACTGGAAAATGGCAAGCAGAGTACAAATATGGGAAGAAAGGTCTTGAAAAGGAGGCTGAAGGTGCCTTTGTTCCTCAAGTGTGATTACTCACTGCACGCACAGCTGCTGAATGTGTGTGAGAAGCTGCAGGTATACAGCTATTTATTTGCAGGGTCTGCATGTCTTGCAGCTCTGATGGTGTAGGTGCAGACAAGGACTGGCTTCTTTTTGGAGCCTAACATACAGACACAGTGAAGTTTTGTTTTGCAAGAGGACCCTGGGATCGTCTCTGCATCTTCTGCTCTTGCAGTGATGCATGTATCTGGTCCTGACCATTCTGCATGCAGCTGAATCCCTTCCCAGGTAGTGTTGGTGAGTAGGATAGCTGCAGATGGGTAAAGGATAAATTTTTTGTTTGATCCTCATGTTTTGAGGCATCCTTTTCAGGGCAGAAGTTTGGGTTGTGCACCATGCTCATGCTTGATCTTTTTCTGTCTTCTGGGCAGCTGCCACCTAAGGAGAGATGGTGGGCATGAGAGCTGATGGGGAGACGCTGAAGCTGAGTCAAAGAGTTTTTCTTTGTTTGTTTTTAAGTCTTTCCATCTGAGATTGGATATTTACAGGCTGAGGTTTTTGTTTCAGGGTCTGTGCCACCCTCACAACTCCCTGCTAGCTGCCAGGAAGCCTCATCGACCTGTGCCCATTCCCCTGCTCACACACATACACCCCAGGTTGCTGCCTGATTGCACAATGTACTTTCCACTGGCTTCCTTGGTGGGGGGGAAGAGAGAGCCCCCAGGAGGAGCTGGAGTATGCCGTTTGCTCCCAGCAGCCCTATCTAGCATGACACAAAGGAGCATTTCCTGACACCAGAGATGTCCCAGGCACCCTCCTCCATCCAGGTAGTGCAGCATGCAGGTTCTTTCTCTGAGAGTTCCTCCTTTTGTCTTGCTCCTCTTCTTGCCAGCTGTGGCCTTTTGCTGCTCCTCCAGCCAGCTCTTGACCTCTTGAGAGCAGGAAGGGAGGAGTATTTTTGTTTAATTAGCTTTCTCTTGAAATTCCTTAAATTCCCTTTTTGCCTTGGCCTGGTGCCTGTTGGGAAGGAGCAGCCCTCGCTCCTGCTGCTGCTTGTGGGCATGTGAGCTGCCCTGAGGACTGATGGACGTGGGGACATTGGTTGTTGGCAGAGCTCGTTCCTGCTATGCTTTGTTCCTAAGGCTGGGTGAAGGCCTTCCTGTGCCCAGCTCTTGGTGTCCTCAGTTTCAGATGAGAGAGAATTCCCTCAGTGTGAGCGCTGCCACGAATAGCCCATATGTCTGCTTACATTTATCTGTTTGGCCAGTGCTGATCAAAAGCAGCTTGACTTTTTCTTCAGAAATGCTTTGAAGGAAGAAGAGAGTTTATTTAGTTTCAGTGCAAACCAAGCCCCCAAAAAAGACAGAAAAAAAAAGTTTGCTTTTTCAGTAATTCTCAGGCTGTTTGCTTCATAAGCAGCAAAGACAAGTATGAACTCCTGCAATAGTCCCTGCAGCAAATCCAAGTATGGCAGGAAGGATGCTGTCAAAGCACTCTGTTTCTAAGCAGCAGCAGGGTTCCGCAGGGCTGCTGGCTCTCACCCACCTCACTGATCCCTGGCCCTGTAACCTCAGGGTACTTGTTACAAACCCAGTTTGCAGTCCAGAAGGAGGCTCGGTGGAGCTTTGCCAGGAAGAGACCAATCAACTTCAGTATCCTTCTCATCCCTAAAATCCCAAGTAGCTTGCCATCAGAGCAGCCCGGCCCTGCCTCAGCTTGTCACTAGGAGGAGCTGAAGAACCAGCAGGGTTGGCAGGGTAGTAGCAGCACCGGCACTCCTATCCACTCAGATGGAACTGCGCAAACCCCAGAGGACAGACTGCTGGTCCAGGCGGGAAAGGAAGAACAAAATGTCCCTTTCATCTCAGCCTCCTGCTGGGAGAGAAGCCAGACCTCTGGAGGGTTTCCTGCAGGAAGGATTTGTGAGCATGGCAGATCCGTGCTGGCAGCAGGGCTGGGACAGCTGGAGTGCACTAGAGAAGGCCCTACAGGCTGGCAGAGGGGCGAGATAAGGACAGGAGGTAGATGGGGGGAGAGGCTTTGTGCTGGAGTTGGGTGGGGGGTGAACAGGCTGTCTGCTCAGTGTCGTGACCATGTCTCTGAGCTGCTTCTCGTGGTCACATCCATGAGGTCTCTTCTGTCTCCACACCCTCAGTCCCCAGGGAGTGTCATCATTTTCACTGCTGTTTTCTTTGATAATTCCCAGCAAACTTTGTTCTGGATGAGAAAAATAGCACCTGGAGCAGTGCAGTTGGCTGCTGGGCTCTGGCTAGAGGGATTTCTGTCTTACCTGATCAGCTGGAGCAGAAGAAGAAAGATGGGTCGCAGGGAGCTGGAGGATGGCAAAAGTCGTCTTCTTGCTTGCCGATGGGTGGGGAGCCCTCCTTCAGCTCCGGTGCTATCTGAAGAGGAATACAGGTCCTATCTGATACCACCCTGGCCATAAAATGTCTAAAGGTCATCATGTCAGAGAGGCAGCCTGGTAAAAGCCTGGGTTTGTCTGTTTATGATAGGATAAAAGGGAAGGAGAACTTGTACTGGAGAGGAAAATAGCTTTACCTTTTGCTTTCATATTAGGTGTGGTCTTGTCTTTTAAATTGTGGGTCTTATTTAAGCTAGAAAAGCTGTTGAGACTTAACACAGACTGCTGTATAAGGTAATGCAGAGATGAGGCCACAGAAAGAAGGAACTCGGTCTAGTTGTTTGTAGGGTATGTGCTAGCTTTGAGCACTGTGGGGTCAGCTCCCTCACCTGCAGGCAGAGCCATTACTGCTTACAACCAAATGCCCTCAGCTTCAGAAAGCCAAGTCCCTGCAGTTCAAAGCGAAACTTTAGCAAAGAGAAAAGCTTTCAGTCCTTTGCCAGCTGCAGTTGTCTCCCTGTCCGTGGCAGGAGACTCTGGATGGGCACAGCTGTAGAGTTTCATTTGGGACTGGCTGCAGCTGGGCTTCTTGCAGCCTCTGCTCACATGGGTTTCTGTCTCTCTTGCCCCCAGGTGTCGGCAGTGCCAACAGTGCTGGCGATGAAGAATGGAGATGTTGTGGATAAGTTTGTGGGGATAAAGGACGAGGATCAGCTGGAAGCATTCCTCAAGAAACTCATTGGAGCCTGAAGTTAAAGGGTGGCTGTACCTCTGCCTCTGGATATGTCCATGTTGTGTGTTCCTTGTCTAGGAGAGTTGAGGAGCACGCGGGCTGCCTGCCTCGTACAGCCTGGGGTTTTCTTCTGTTTGGGGTTTTTAGGAGATGGACAATATTGTAATCCTTCCTTCCTGCTCCCCTCTTCTCTTGAGCAGCAGTAGTTGTAAAGGGTGCTGAGGAGCAGGGCTGCTCATCCTCAAAATGAGGAATGCAGCTGGGATTAGGAGCCCATGTTCATCAGCAAATTGCTGATGTGTGGAACTTCTGCTGAGCTAAGAGGAGGAATATTTTTCTTTTGTCTAGCATCTGACAGTCCAGTGCAGAGGGCAGCTGTTTCTCTGCATGGAGCAGCTCCTCCACAACATGTGGAGGCTTATCTGCTCTGGGTGGGTTTGTTTAAAGATGAGAATGCCTCTGCCTTGTCTGTGGAAACTGTCTTGATCCCTCTGTTTGGATGTCCCCAGGACAGGTACAAATCCTCTGCAAACCCACAGGCTCCCGTCATAATTTTATAAGAGCAAATAGAAGTATTTTATGGATCTCCTTTTGTAGGTCTGTAATAAAGAGAACTTTATCATCACATCTGTCTAGCTGGAGAATGAAACTCAATTCTCTGAAACCCTGGGGGAACCCCTTATCTGTCCAGTGAAGCGAGAGGCACTATCAGCAGAACAGTGGCTGGTTCCTAATGATGGGTTGGGAGAGTGCAGGTTATGACTTGATTTCTACTAAAAGGTAATGTTCTGAAAAACAAAACAAGTGGATCACTGTCACAGAACTCCCAGCGCTGCTCCTGTGTCCCACATTGGGTGCAGCTGAATCCTGGGCTCTGCAAAGGCACTCCTCTTTTGTGCAGAGGCAGTGGCTCACTGCCCCCCATGCTTTCCTCATCTCCTTTCCTGTCTGAGAGCTGCCCTCTGTGTAGATAATTAAGTCTGCTCACATGGGTGAGCCCTGACGAAGGCGGTTTTCTGACTCTTTAATTGCCCCGACCTTTAGACCGAGGGAGGCAGTTGTGTGCCCGTATCACCAACAGCCTTCAGCCCTTCCCAGCTCTCCCTCCCTGCAAATGCTTGGTAACTTCAAGGTCCTCTTGGTTTCCCCTGGCAGTGCCCTGCTCCTAGTTCCCTCTTGCTGGCACAGCACAACGCCAGGGCTGATGCCCCGATGCCCACTGTAATACTTTACATCGGTTTGCATAGCTAAGATGCATGAGGACATTATATGTGCTTAACAGCCACGTAAAAGCTGCTTTCTTGTTTTCCTTCCCACTCCCGTTTCCCTCAATCACTCCTAACTCTGCCTTGGCTCTGCTCCATTTTGCCTCCCTGCCATAGGTTGTTCCAAGCGCCGAGGCGAGTTTGTTCTGCACCTTTGCGCCAACGATTTACAGCCTTTTAAGGAGCGGGGAAGCAGCCATCCAAGTCCTGCGTGTCCCACCACAACCGCAGCAGTGTTCCCACCTGCGTCCATCGGGAACGGCGCAGCCCCCCAGGTGGGTGCCTTCCCGGCAGGGCTGAGCTCACACCCTGGCACACTGCCTGCGCTGATGTCAGCGGGCTGTAATTTGGTACGTTGTGAGCAGTAGGCAGTGGCATTTGCTTTTGTACTGCAGACCGCAAAAGTAAAGCTGCTCGTGTCCTGTTCTAATCTGCCCTGCCTTTTTGGTGCACCTCAGTGTTCCTGCTGCCCTGTGAACGCTTCTAGTAAAGACCATCCTCATTTTTCTGCATGTGCAGGAAGAGTAGGGGAATAGCGTCACGTACCCAACAATAGCCAACTTTTATGCTTCGCCATCCCACGGAACAGGAAAAAACATAGTGACTTTACATTGTGTGTTTAAGAGACAGTATAAATCAGCTATTTTATCACTTCCTTCTAAGGAAAAGTGGAGCCAGTGTCCCATTTGGCTATGCCCTAGGGTGCGTTATGTCAAAGCCACAACTGTTTCTTTGAGATAAATACTGAAGAGCCACATAGACAGTGCCCTGTGAGCAATCCTTCAGAAACTGCATGGCTGCCAAGGGCGAGGATGTCGTTCTTCCCTTTTGGAGTTAAACACATCCAAAATTCCCCTGATCTGTTAAACATTGACTCCCTCCCACCCAAGCATTACAGCAGCGTTCCGCTTCTCATGTTCCCAGCTGCTATTTTAGGAGTGTGCAGCCATCGCTGCCTGTTGGAGCGGAGCTGGGCCTGCCACTCCCTCCCTGGGTGCTCTCTGAGCCCAGCACCAAAATCTCCCCCAGGTTCACATGTGGTGCTTCTGCCCTCAGTCTGGTCAATGACACCCAATTTTCAGCAAGTGGGGGCTCTTCCTCTCCTTGCTGCCGGCTTGCATCAAGCCCAAAGGCAGCTGCTCCTTTCCCAAGGTGTTTGGGTCTGCTGCTAAGCTCTCATGATGGGGAGAGGTGTGCAGTGCTGAGATCCCCCTGATGTGCTGGTAGGGTATGGGGCATTGGGACTGTCTATTCCAAAGCATAGGATGAGAAGTAGCAGTCTAAAGTTGCACTATGGAAGGTTCACGTTGGATATTAGTAAAGTTTTCTTCTCTGAAAGAGTGGTGCTTCAGTGACACAGGCTGCCCAAGGAGGTGGTGGAGTCACCGCCCCTACAGAACCATGTGAAAAAGTGGCACTGAGAGACATGATTAGTAAGCATGGCGGGGATGGGATGGGCTGGCATTTGGAGCAGGTGATCCTAGAGGTCCAACTTTTATGATTCTCTGGAAGTGCTGCCAGGTTGTGCTGTAGGTTTTGGCTTCCTGTAAGTTCAGCAAGTTGCAGCTCAGACAGCTGCAATATCCTAAGCAAAAAGATAAGGTACAGTACAAAAGATGCAAGTTCAGACCAGAGCAGCTCATAGGACAGTGCCCCGTCTCCTCACCCCTGCCTCTGCGGCCCACCCAGGTGCATGTCCACAACCAGTCCTGCACTGCCCCAGCACAAGGCTGTGCCTCGGGGCAGAGGTGCTGCATCTGAGCACTGTGCTGCAGCTTGGCCGGCATAGCAGCTGCAGGGCAAACACAGGGCTGTGCTGCGTGCAGGCTGCAGCACGCCTGCCAGTATTTATATAACACCATTTTGCTTTAATCTGGCTTTTTAAGTAAATTGTCAAAGCCCTCTCTGTTCACTGGGAGCCTCTATATTTTTATTTTTTTACTACAAGTTTCATCTTTCAAAGCTAGGCCACGTTTGAGTGATGCTGAAAAATCCCATTTGCAGTGGCTTTTTGTTCCATGCTTGCATTGTTCAGGCAGCAGCAGTTGTTTTCTTTTCATCCTGGCATAGCTCAGGAGTGACTGCATGGTCTTAGCTCCAACTTTCTAAAAATACTCACCCGTGAGGCGGCCTCACACCAGCAGATGAATGCTTTGGAAAGGCATGATGGCCTGAAAAGAAGCCGGCGGCAGCACCGTGCCAGCCCTTTGGTGGCTGTAAGTGGTGCATCTGCAGCGTGTATCAGCCAGAGAGCACCTGCAAAGTGCTTTGGGGTGCTGAAGCTAAAGCAGTATGGGTACAGAGAATGCATCAGAGGTGCCTGCAGGAGAATTGCTGCCTGCAGGGTGACCCAGAAGTGATGAAGAAAGTGTCTTCTGCCTGGAGAAGCCTCAGCAGCCACATCCTCTTCTCCGAGCGTGGGACACCAGGTGCTGGGGAGGGGGTGGCAGGGATGCAGCCAAGTGTAAATCAGGCTGTGGCAGTTTGCAGGAAAGCATTTGGGATCTACCCCTCATCCTGCCCCCAGCCCGTGGCAGGAAGCTCCCCAGGTGATGGCTGTAGCAGCTGCTGTGACAGGAGGCCTCATTGTTCTGAGTCCACAATCTCAGGGCCGTGCCAGCTTTTGGCAGGAAGCTGCAAGACAAAACCTTCAAGTTCTTCTTCCTCCCTCACTCGTTCTCAAGGGGCTGAGCCTTCGGTTGGGCTCCTCCAGCACTCATCAGCAAGGACGCCCAACTTCCCCCTGCCTCTGTACCTCTATGGGTTTCCCCTTCCCCCCTCTCCAGTCTGCAGCTCAAGTTCAGTTCCCAGTTTGTGATGACGCTTGGAAGCACACTTGGGGTCCTGCCATTGGTGCCTGCGTGGAGATGGAGGATGCCTGTGGAAATGAGACATCATCCATCGGGGCCACTCCTGGCCGGGTGCTCCTTCTCTGCCCGGGCCCCATTGCATTGCCCTCTCCTGGTCAGGGCTGGGGGGCAGGGGACAGGGACAGGAAGGCCCTCGTTATTCAGGGCTTGCTAATTAGATGGGAATGTTATCTCCAAACCAGATGTCTGCTCTGACCTCCCTCTAACCTCCTGCTGGAAATCAAAACAGACGCAACTCTGTTTGTTTTAAAATAACAAAAATAAGCCTTTGGGGTGAAGCAGGAAAGTCTGGCCCGTGGGGTACAGCTAGGGAGGGAGGAGGGCATGCAACCAGATAAGCCTGGTAAGATGTGCCAGATGGCAGAGCTGGAAGGGATGGGCAGAGAGCAAAGTCCCATGGCTTATGGTGGCTGTATGTATGTGCTAGATTCCCTCAGAAGAGAGGGCTCTGGGGAGACCTCCAGTATCTAATGGGACCTCTGGGAAGGTGGGGAGGAGCTCTGTATTGTGGAGTGGAGTGATAGGACCTAGAGGTAATTGCTTTAAACTAGGGTAGGATTTGGGTTAGCTGTAAGGAAGAGTCCTCACAATGAGGGCAGTGAGGCACTGGCACAGCTGCCCAGAGAGCTGTGGTGTCCCATACCTGGAGGTGCTCAAGGCCAGGTTGGATGGGGCCTTGGGCAGCCTGAGCTGGTGGGGGGCAGCCCTGCTCACGTGGGGTGGGGCTCCATGATCTTTAAGGTCCCTTCCAAACTTAGGCCATTCTATGATTCAGTGGTTCAAACCCATACCCGGCTGCTCAGGGTCAATCCTTGGTGGGCTCTGTAGGTCCGGAGGTGGAACTGCTGGAGGAGGCTGAGTTAAGCCTGAATTTCACCTCCCCACCTTTCTTTGGGGTTGACTAAAGGGTGCAGCAGGAAGTGCTGATTCCTGGAACAAGCTCTGCTTTTCAACCCTAATCCCAACCTCTTTTTGCTCATGGGATCTAAAGCAGACCACGGGTTGTTTCAGAATAAGCAAGCCAGGTGACACGAGCAATTGGTAATTCCCATCCTGTGCTTACAGTAAAAACCTGTTTTATTGCATTTCTGCAATAACCTTCTATAGTTGGGGAACAAACGTTGTCCTGCTCTGAGCGCTTCAGCTATGCTGAGGCCCAGCACACAGATTTCTCTTTGGGCCGCAGCCTGCCATGCATATCTACACAGCATGTGAAAAACATGCCTTGTACCAAACTGCCCCAGGCCCTCTCTCTGGGTGGTGCAGAGACCCCCTGGGGTTTTCACCCCTGAAAGCAGTCGGGGTGCCCTGTCCCTGCCTCCTGCCTGGCTGTGGCTCTTGGGCAGCCTCAAATCTCATATTCTGTCGTGCCTTTCCTCAGTCCACAGCCCACAACCTGTCTCAGCCTGTCTTACTTCCCATCTCTCATGAAGACTGCTGAGGGATTGCTCATCACAACATGCTCCTGATACCACAGAAGGCATGGCTGATT